GTGGGTTATCCACTGGAAGCCAGTAGAAGGAGTTTGCAGCATGAGATTGGGATTGGAACAAGGAATGGGCACTACTGGGCTTGACCCCCCCCCCACTGCAAACTCTTGAAGGATGTGGCTACGTGGTGCAGGCCTGTAGGGCGATCCGGTGCTCTACAATCTGGGATGTTAGGAACAAGGCAGTCTTTCAAGGAAAGGGTTCGTCCGACACTGAAATTAAGTCCTCCATCCGCCTTAAATTAAGACATTACATAAAGGCGGACTGGGACCGGCGTAATAGTGGAACGCAAACCAAGGGAAAGAGCTCGAGATGGTTCCTCAGGACATGGGGGAGTTCCAGGGACTCCAAGTGGCTGGTAACAGTAGGCTCAGATGGAAAACTGGACTTCTGTACTTGGCTAAAGTAAGAACAAGGTAGCTTATCAGAAGTCGGCTTACCTGAAGGGTACATGGGTCTGATCCATATGTTGATAGAATTACTGGGGTTTTAGAAAGTTTCTAATTTTTGTGGGTTTTCTAATGTTTTTTTTTTTTTTTTTTTTTTTTTAAGTTTTGGCTTTTCACCCCTTTGTTGCAGAGTATGGAATGTCGAAGGCAATACTGGGACACTCGCTTAGCTTTAGCCACAGGTGGCAGACAAATGTTTTCTCAGGCTGAGCGCAGGGCTATTGGGGAAAGTGGTGGGAGTGTCAGAGGGGGCGGTTGCCCAGCAGGTCGATGAGTAGGCCTGCACTTAACAGACGATTCAGTATAGTTAGTAGGATAAATTTCTAGAATGAGAAGAGCAGAAGGCTCGAGATAAAGTTGGTTTACAGCAACTGTTGACATAACAGCAAACAGTCAGCAGTGACCCAGATTTCATAAATTGAAGCTGGATCAGGTCCAGTGCCATGGTTTACCCCCCGGGTTGTTTGTTGAGGATTCCCGGCCTCAGATTTACTTTTGTTTTGAATAAAGGATCCTCAACTTTTTCCCGAAAAAAAAAAAGAAAAAAAAAAGGAAGGGCCTCCTATGAAAAAGGAACTTGGACATGGCAGTATTACTCTTGGACCTCGAGAAGGCGTATGATATGGTGGGGTAACCCTTCATACTTACGTCCCTCAGGCATATGGGGTTTGGAGAGAACATCTGCAAGTGGATCAAGGCTATGTACACGGAGGCAACATCAGCGGTGATGGTCAACGAACACATCTCAACCCCGTTTCACATCACACGGTCGCTGAGACAAGGCTGCCCCTTGGCACCCCTCCTGTTTGTGCTGCAAATGGAAGTTTTGCTAAATCGGGTACGAAATCACCCACAGATTAGAGGCCTCAGATTAGCCAGTGGACTCGAATGCCGAGTAAAAGCGCTCGCCGACGACCTCTTCATGGTCTGTGAAAACACAGTCCCAGCCCTCTTGGCCTTGAAGGAAGTGCTACGCAAGTACTCAGAGCTCTCGGAGGCTTCGATCAACTGGAATAAGTCAACGTACTTCCTCCCATCGAGCTTTCAACTTCAAGTACAATGGGGCATGAAAAGGGTAGAAGAAGGGGAGGAAGAGATGTTTCTGGGGGTGCTCATCAGTTTGCAAGTGAAGTCAACAACCCAGGGTGCCCTGCTCCAACAAAGGATTGCGGCAAGACTACGAATATGGGGAACAGCTTGGCACCTGTCGCTGATTGGGAGGGCTTTGGTTGCCAACTTGGCCCTGTTCTCCATTCTGTGGTTCGTGTCTACAGTAAGAGAGGTACCGCCCGGAGTCATCACAATAGTCAAACAGCTAGTCGTCCGTTTTTTGTGGAAACCACGGGCTAAAAAAGAAGAGGGTTGCCTGATAAAAGTCGCATGGGACACATTGACCTTCGCAAGGGAACAGGGTGGCATGGGCATGGTGGATCCAGCAAGGAGGAACCATGCTCAACTAAGAGCATGGTTGTGCAGAATTGCTTCTGCAACACACAAGGAGCACTGGGTGGCAATGTCAGAACGGATTCTGATGAGGGAGTGGGACTTGTGCAGACCTGAAGACGTGTGGGTGTGCTTTTTCATGGAGTCATACATGAAGAGAAAACTGAAATCGCCATTTTGGGAACCAATAAGGAAAGCTTGGAGAAGACAACCCTCGGACACCCAGGCAGAACCACAAACAAAGGAGAAAGTGCTGCAACAACATCTATTCGAAAATAAGCGCATCCGGGACGTAGAAGGCTCAACGTTCCTGGCGACAGATCGTCAGCAACCTTCGGGCAGGCATGGATGAAACGAGGGGTAATCCGAGTCAAAGATTTGTGGTGTACTTCAACGGGCACCTGGAAACCGATAACGGAACTCAAGGGGAAACTGAGGGGGCTGAGATGCGTGGAAACGAATTGGAAGAGAATCGTGGATGCAATCCCCGAGGGTTGGAAGAACACTCTGGGTCCAAGAGGAATAGACCCGCCAGGCACCTGGTACATGGCTATCGAAGAGCAAGAAGAAGGAGTGGTGTGGAACGTAGTGGAAACACTGCCAAGCGGCTTCCGCAGAGTGGAAAGATGGAGGAGCAGCTCCCATACAAAGGAACTGCAGAAGGTGAATGAAGAGGCCATAATGAACTGGCATAACCCGAAACAGATTCGGGTTATGGAACTGCAAACGAAGCAGAGAGCGGTTAGAGCTCTCACCTAGATGGGCGGTCTCCCTCTGAACGCACTCTACATTGATCCCCAGGCCTGGAGCTGGACGGAGGAGGGACAGAACACAAAGACCTGGGCAATGGGAGAACTCACAGTCAAACAGGACTACAAGATGAAGACCGGAGGGAGGAAAAAGCCAGCAGAAATAGTAGTGGACAGATGGCAGGCAGTGATGACAGAGGATTTATCCGGGGCAGGCAGACAATTCGAGAAAGTTTGGAAAATCCTTAAGTCGCTGCCAAATGGCAAACAGGCGAGCATTCTCTGGCTGCTGTCACTGATGGTAACCCCATCTGCGGTCTGGCTGGTGAGTAGAGGGATGGAGACAGATCTCAGGTGCGTGCGGTGTACTGGCCGTATGAATCCACCCGACACCTATGGTGGGAATGCCCAGCTTCAAAACGGGTGTGGAAGTGGTGGCAGCAACACTGGGAGCAGATGGGGGGAAAGGGGGTAAAGTGGGATGAAGCCTGGGTCCTACTTGGCTTCCTGCCTGGCGAAGACCAAGGTACGAAGGGCTGGGGGTACATGGCCCATGCAGTTTGCGGTCTGATCTGCGACATAATCTGGATGGATCGAAACAAGGCCAGGTTCCACAACAAAACCTTGGCAGCCACAGAAATCAAAAGGTTGATAAAGAAGGGACTGAAGCAGGCAATCAAGGTGGACTGGAGGAGGAAAGCGAGGGGGGGAAAGGGCAGCAAGGAACAACTCTACTGGTTTCTGAGAACTCACGAAGAAAGAGGTCTGGTCCTCTCGAGATGGAAAAAAAGAGATGGATACAAGAGGCAGCAGACAGTAGTGCCAGAAACATGGAGGGGAACTATTAGGATAGGAGGGGAGTGACGAACCAGGGTACTCGGTGGTTTGGAGTGCCGGCCGCAGGAGGTCACTCAGGGGAGGAGGGAGGTAGCGTACCACGACCACTGGGAACTTAGGTTCCAACCGGCCATGTTAGGCCGGTGTCAGGCCGTGTAGGCCTGTGTATTGTAGGCATAGGACGGGTGAGAAGAGGAGAACAGCTCGGCAGTAGTCCTCGGTCAGGCAAACTATGGACAGTTTATGGGTACACCAGCCAGGTCTAGTATAGTACAGGGTAATGTGAGGAAGCGAGTAATAATTTGCAAGGAAGTGAGTAATAATTTGCAAGATCTAGAAGTCTGCCCAGCCCTGAGGGCTGTAAGCGAAACCGGCTGATGCTGCCGTGATAACTCCGGGTGGAATTGTGAGGTCCCCGGCCTCTCTGCTGTTCATATATATATATATCGTCACAAACAGAACTGCCCGGTAAAACCGTAGGCAGAGAGAGAGAAGAGGACAACAAACGAGGGGCTGTGACAAACTGTTTCGTCGGAGTTTCACCGACTCATATAAAAAAAAAAGGAACCGGTACTTGTGGAACCGATGAAGCGTCCCGGTAGTTGGGAAAGGGAAAGTCTATCGGCTTCATGATCTGTTGAGTTGTCTGCAGTCGTCCGAATAGGTGCCAACCAAATGGGTGTTTGGTCCCTTTTCTTGTGTCTTCGGTTTGTGTCAAGTCTGGGCACACGTGTCGTGGGCAATCCCGGTGCCGTGGTCGTGGGCCCGCCACCGCACGTGAACCTTCTGGCCATGACCACCACAAACACAAATTACTGGAACGCAACTACGGCCGTAACGAGCTGCCGAGCGCCGCCGGCAGGAGGACGCGTAGTAGAAATAGAAATGCCACGGAAGCAAGTCGTCAGTGCGTGGTATCCAATCAATGAGCCCGCCCAGTCGAGATTCATTTTTTTGCTTTCTTTTGGAGTCGACAAAATTTCTAGCGGTAGTACGTGGGTGCTGCAGTTATCTCTCGTCCTGCCTTCGCGCATCTTGCAGGCCTCCCTTCCGTGTTGCTTCGGCCTACCGCTGCTGACCGATTCTCTGGTGCCTATTCCTTTTCGTCTAAAGGCGCGGCACGTCTGGCGCCTATTTACTTTCGTCTATCATTTTCAAAAAATAAAGGCGCTTTACGTGTACGTTCTCGTCCCCGCCACTTTATCTCTGCCTCATCTCTCTCTCTCTCTCTCTCTCTCTGTGTGGGCCTAGTTGCACCATCCACCAACATTTTAAATGCATCTGGACGGCATTTCTGTCCAGATGCATCCAAAATCTTGGCAAAGGCGAGTAGTGCAACTACCGGGCTCTCTCTCTCTCACCTTCCTCAAAAAGAGGATGCGAAAAAAAAAAAAAAAAAAAAAAAAAAGACAATGCAGGTTGCGCTAGCCGAAAGAAACGAAGGAGTCACAAAAAAAAGGTAAAAAAGAAACGAAGGAGTACGGCGTGTGGTACGTGTTCCAGACTGGCGGGAATCGTCGGACCGCGGTCTATTTAAAAAAATTGGACCACCGTCGACTCTCCAAAAGAACAGAAGGGAAAGTTGGTCGGCAGGCGATCAGCGTTTTCTGTTATGCGTGTCAACCTTGGGCCACGTTTGTCTGTATCGGTCCAATTTTAACGGATGTCCAACAGGCGATGACACACTTCAAGGAGGAGGAGGGGGGAAAGTGGAGAAAGCGGGAAAGAAAATAGGCGAGGAGGAGGGGGGAAAGTGGAGAAAGCGGGAAAGAAAATAGGCGAGGGAGATGAGCGAAGAAATCAGCCATTGAACTCTCGCGCAATTGAACCAGTCATCGTAATCGGAGGCTTAAAATTTCAGTTCTTATTATTTCCGCAGTCTTAAATTGGACGCGTCAGCCAAGGAATCTTTTCTTTTTGTCCTTGAAAGAAACGACTGCCAGTAGTCGGGTCTGTCTTCTCTCCCACACAAATTCACACACACACACACACACACACACACACACACACACACACACACACACACACACACACACACACAGAGAGAGAGAGAGAGAGAGAGAGAGAGAGAGAGAGAGAGAGAGAGAGAGAGAGAGAGAGAGAGAGAGAGAAACGGCGCGGTGATATCGTATGTCTTGTGGTGGGGAGGTGAGAAGAGAGGAGCAGCAGTGACGCGAGACGAGAGGCGAGCAAGCATGCGAGAGTTGTAGCAGTCCGGTAAGAGGGGAGAAGACCCCGCGGCGTACAAATAGAGGAAGAGAGAAGAGGAGACGAGGTAGGGAAGTGAACCGGCAGATCGGGGAGGGAGAGAGAGAGAGAGAGAGAGAGAGAGAGAGAGAGAGAGAGAGAGAGAGGCCGGGGATCAGGACGAGGAGGAAAGAAGAAGACCCTTCGCACGCACAGGAATGGATCTGGTGTCGAGAGAAAGGGGGCAAGGGAATTGAGCTGTCACACATGTGTGTGACGGAGGAGGAGCGGTGAGCAGAGCCGTCGCTCGCACAGGAATGAACCAGGTTTCTATTGTTTGAACCTCCTTCTCGTTGGCTGGACCAGCTTCTTCCAAATCGCACGGACAAGTTAGTCAAACAGGTGAGTTGGTAATTCCACCCTCTTCTTCCCCCGAATACAACGTACGGTCATTCTAGTTGCATTTAGACTGAAAGATGCCTCAAATACACCGCTATAATTACCGTACGTTGTATTCGGGGGAAGAAGGTAAGGGCGTCGCTCCACCACTCACTTCATCCTCAATCGACATAATCATGGGCGTTGTTGTCGTTCTCCTCGTTCACCTTTCGGTTGGGTACGCGTGAAAGTTGTGTGCGGTTTTTCAGTTCCTTCTTTTTCAATTCCTTCTGTGTGTTTTCTTCATCTAACGGTGTGGGTGTGTCTATCTGCCAAACCAATGGGTTTGGTGTCAACTGCCGGCCTAAATGTGGTGTGCGAGAGTGCGACTGCTGTTCCTTGTGCACATTCCTCGTCTTCCTCATGGCGGTGGAACCTTATCTTTGGCGTTCTTGCATGTCGTACGTATGTCGGGACACTGTCTCTAAATACAGCAGACGTCATCACCGTGTGTTATTCGAACGAAAGACACTTTGTTCATGGCTGAATCTGACCGGAAAGATAGCCTGTCTACATTCATGATCGCGGTGTTTTGTGTTCGGGGCCTGACGGCAACGATTCCTGGCGGAAGTGGTCTTACAGTATTTCATAATCGAACTCACAGATGGACGACACGTGGCAACTTGATTGTTCTTCCCTCGCTTGATCTGTTTACAGAGATTCATGTACTCTCCCGCCAAATTAATCAGTGTTCCATCATTCAGAACGTTGCTTCCCGCCAAATTGTGCAGGCTTCTGGTTGTATATACTCCCGATGCTCATCGTGTCCTGCCAATTCTGAGGGAGTTCTTTTTGTTCTTTTCCTCTCTCTCTCTCTCTCTCTTTGTATGTCTCTCTCTCTCTGTGTCTGTCTCTCTCTCTCTCACTCAGTCTCTCTCTCTCTCACTCTCTCACTCTCTCACTCTCTCACTCTCTCGGCTTCTCCCTCGCCCACCCCTCGCTCTCAACCCTTGTGTATGTGTGATGTGTTCTCCAGGGGAGTGTACGGAAGGATCTTGGTTCCTGTTGAGACTGTGGGTGTGGGTGTGCGTCTCTTTTTCTTCTTAATCAAACAAGAGTGGAATAAAAAGAAAAAAAGAAAAAAAAGAAATAGTGAAAATAATGCTTTCTTCCCCCTCTTCCCCCCTCCCCCCCGCACTTAATTTTACTTGTCGTTTTAAAAACGACAAGCTCGTATAGGACAGGACCGCTTTTCGATTAGTGTGTGTCATCCCTGCGCAGGGCCTATGATGCTAATCTTATTGCATGAGGCAATGCGTCGTCACGATGATTTCGTTTCTTTTTCTTTTTCAATAATGTTTCTCCCTTTTTTTTTGTTTTTTCTGATTGCACTGGGTAATGGGTTGGTTTTATGCTCAGCGATTTCTGCAAATCGCTCTTTATATTAAAAAAAAAGAAAAATCGTTGTTTGCGTCCGTAAAGCCATAACTACGTTTTTGTCAAAAAAAAAGAAAAAAAGAAAAAAAAAGCCATAACTACAGAACCATGATGGGCTAGCTTGTAATAAAACGATATATACACGCTCGTATTCGAACGTTGAGAATGCTACCGACCTGGGGCCAAGTCGCACTAGCAGCGTCGAGTTTTTTCCTTAAACGCCTGAATCTGGACGTGTTTGTGGCGAGGTGCGGTTAAGGAAACTCAACGCGACTTTCTGCACTTCTCCACAATCACGTTCAGATTCCGGCGTTGAGGAAAAACACTCAACGCTGCTACCGGTAGTGGGACTTGGCCCAAGGCTTGTGTACACTGTGTCATCTTTATGCGGACGGTTCTTTTTCTTTTCTTTTTTTAGGTGTCGTCTCTGTTCTGACAGGGTTCTTTTGTCTGTTTTGTGTCATTGTCTTTCTTACACAGGTTTCTAATCTCTCTCTCTCTCTCTCTCTCTCTCTCTCTCTCTCTCTCTCTCTCTCTCTCTCTCTCTCTCTCTCTCTCTCTCTCCCCCCTTTTCCTTTGTGGTTTCTAATCTCTCTCTCTCTCTCTCTCTCTCTCTCTCTCTCTCTCTCTCTCTCTCTCTCTCTCTCTTTCTCTGCTTTCTGTCCGTCTCTCTCTCTTCTTTGCTGTTTTCTTCTCTCTCTCTCTCTCTCCTGTCTCTTATACACATCTAGATGTGTATAAGAGACCAGCCGTAGAAAGTAGCCCTCTTGCTGGACAGATGAAAGTTATTGGATTGTCAGGGATTGGTGCTCTCCTCGCTGGGCTTTGGAATACCTCGAAANTCTCTCTCTCTCTCTCTCTCTCTCTCTCTCTCTCTCTCTCTCTCTCTCTCTCTCTCTCTCTCTCTCTCTCCCTCTCTCTCTCTCTTTCTCTGCTGAGGCACCTCGAATCAGGAGAGGAGGGGAGGGCTACGCGGCCCTCAACTGGAGGTGGCTAAGTCGGACAAGACGGCGCGCTCCGGGATCTCGGATGAGGGCGCCTGTCGGCGCGCAGCGCCCTTCTCCTTTCTGACGTCAGTGTCTTTCCACGGTGGAAGGGGTGCTGCTCCATCGAACGGAGGACAGCCTTCGGATCTTCTGTTCCTTGCAGGTGGTGGTAGCGTCACTGGTGGTCGTCGTCCCTCTCGGCGCGCAGTGCCCTCTCTCTGCGCAAGCGGTACTCGCAATAATAAAAGTAATTACAATAATAAGAATAATGAGTGGCGGCTGAAAAGCGCAGGCTGAAAAGAGCAGAGGCGGGGCAATCTTCGTCGTCGTGTACTTGGGAGGCTGCTGTATACTCGGTGTAGCATCTGGCCGTGTGCGCAGTCCTCCCCTCCCCGCTCGGACAATTGAAAATTGTGCGCCTGAACGGTGGAGCGCCTTGTCGCTGCCACAGCCGCAGCCGCAGAACCGCCTGTCTCCTTCCCAGAAGTGCCGAAGTCATCAGCTCATCACCAGCAACAGCAAAAGCAGCGTCTATCGACGGCGATGCCTACACTAGCAACCTCGCCTGCTATGGGAAAACAAGCCCCCTGCGCGCGCAGCTGTCTAGGGGCATGCTGCCTGCCAGGTGAGCACTTTCTTCCTCTCCTTCTTCTCCTTTGTGTGTGTGTGTGTGTGGGTGTGTGTTTGTAAATTGTGGTTCACCACAACAGCCCCTTTTCCACCCAGATGAGCAGATCCAAAATTGAACCAACTTTACCTCTATGGCAGACAGACAGCGAAGCACACTGAACATGTGTGTGTGTGTGTGTGTGTGTGTGTGTGTGTGTGTGTGTGTGTGTGTGTGGGTGTGTGTGTGTGTGTTTGTAAATTGTGGTTCACCACAACAGCCCCTTTTCCACCCAGATAAGAAGATCCAAAATTGAAGCAACTTGATCTCTATGGCAGGCAGACACCGAAGCACACTGAACATGTGTGTGTGTGTGTGTGTGTGTGTGTGTGTGTGTGTGTGTGTGTGTGTGTGTGTGTGTGTGTGTGTGTGTGTGTGTGAGCACATGGGATCAAGGGAAGAGTATGCGCAGAGCTTACGAGATTTAATACATAGATAGGAAAGGAATGGGCAACACTTGCTTCTGAACACGACTTGCAAAAAAGTGGATGCCACAGAAAAACTGAAGTGTGATTTGCGTTTCATGCCCTGACCCCCTCCCCCTCGGATGTGGGGTTATATGTGAAAATGTAAAGAAACTGGTGAACGTTATAAAATCTTTGATTCACGGATTCTGAATGGAATGGTTCCCGAATTTTCTGAAATAGTAATTCACAAATTTTCTGAAATGATTCACGAATTTTCTGAAATGATTCATGACTTCTGAAACGATTCACGAATTCTATACTGATTCACGAATTCCTATATATATATATCGTCAAATAGAACTGCCCGGTAAACCGTAGGCAGAGAGGGAGAAGAGGACAACAAACGAGGGGCTGTGACAAACTGTTTATATATATATATTT